TCCTAAAGAACTTGATCATTTTTGATATTTAGGGAATCGGATAACTCAAGATGGAAAAGCGCTAGGATACAAAATAAAGAACAGCTCAGTAAGGTTGGCCCGCTTTTGGTAAATAGTAATCACTTTTCTGCTCGAGATTGGTTAATAAAACGATTATTAAAGGTTTATTTATATAGCCGGAAGCCACAGAAAATGTATTAGGCCCAGGCTAGACGGACCCGGAATAGAACCGTTGTCTTTCCGAATATTAAGGAATAGTTTAAACTGCTAGGCTAGAATCAGCGTCAAACTCTAGAATGAATGGTGCATTTTGTATAAGCAAAATTGTGATCATATAGACTGTCTTCCTGTACTGTCAAGATGAGCAGTTTTCATAATATATAAAACGGAATATTTGTTTCTTAATCGCGTACAAAAAACCCTGAATAAAGGAAAATTTATTCGTCTGCTGTTTAATTATAGGAGAATAATAAAGAAAGCGTTTTTATTCCTCCACGATGTTACTTATTCACTGACATACGTTCCATTTTGTTTCGCAGTCATTTGTCAATCGTGACAGTCGATTAATGTGTGGAACACACACATACGCACACGAACACTAAAAAATTGTTTTAGTTCAATGCATTAAACGCCCAGCTCTGCTACCATACGAGTACATTAGATATATATATTATTCAGCCTCTGTCGTCTATGTAAATACGAGCTAAATTAGTAACGTGGTTCTTTTGGCGTAATATCCCATTCGCGTGAAACAAAAAAAATACCATTTAAAAACAAGGGATGGGGTGGCGGGAAATTCCCTACTCGTTAAACTTTTTACGGGGCCCATTAAGGACCGCCTTCCACTTAAACGGACATTTATATATACATAAATAATTAGTACACTTGTCTTATTGCGGAAACGGAAAAAAAAATTTGTTGAAATATTAACTAACCTAACACCTAATGGATATATGCTAAAAGAAAGAAAAACGTTAATGAGAAAAAATATGTTTTATCGTCACCAACATTTGGATATGACGATGAAAAGTTACATAGGTATATAAAATAGTTACTGAAAAAAACAATTTTTTTCGACGTTTTAAAATACATATTAGATATCCTATCACGGTTGATATTTTAAACAACAGAAACAAAGAAATAAGGTAGTAATCGCCCAATGATGATAAGACATCTACCGTGAATTTTCTTTGATCTAACGGCCAATAAAATTCGGATTATACCTATTATATTATATATAAAGACGCCATCATCATAATTTGATGAGAATATCAGGAGAGGTGTTAAAAAATTATCTCACTTATTCACAGATAATTGGTTCTATTTTTAGTCAAGATTATGGATGCAACGCTCTGCCTTCCGATATCCTTATCGAAGCTCATTAGGAAAACGATGTTTACCTTATCGCCTTAGTCAGGTAATCTAAATGGCATATCATTAATACGCCATTATTTGGAATAATAGTGTTTGGACACCTTTAAACTGCCTATTCTATCACAGTCAATAAATCATGCTCCATAGTACTTAACATAAACTGTCATTTATTATGAATGTAAATATTGAACACACTTCATTGATAGGTATATAATGCACATCAGGGTTTTCTTGCATTTTTTTTGTAACCAAAACTTACCTCAAGCACTACAACACTATGAGAAAACGCAGACACGTTTTTCATCCACTTGCGTTATGTACGACAGTCTTGCGTTGTGTTGTGGTATTTGAGATAAGTCCTCATCATAGTTTAATTTTTTACATCACCACAATGTCCTTTGATATTTCTATTGAATTAATATAGTATAGCTATGTTGCGTTATGTAAGACAGTCTTGCGTTGTGTTGTGGTATTTGAGATAAGTCCTCATCATAGTTTAATTTTTTACATCACCACAATGTCTTTTGATATTTCTATAGAATTAATATTGTATAGCTATGTTATGGGAATGCCACATGAATGAATGTTGTATTGATATTAATATAATTTTATTGTCTCTCCACGGGGGTGTCGGGCGGTACCATCTTATTGTTAAACTACAAGAAGTAAATAGCTTAAAATTTAACACCAAAAACTGAAAAAGTAACCTAGGTACTTCAAACTGATCGGATTGTTGATTTTAAAAACTATAGGTAAAGACATGTAAATTTTAATCTGATTTTGTAGCTAGCAACGTAATATTATCAATAAATAATTAGATTTTCCCGTTTTTAATAACCTCTAGTATATACAGTTTTATTTATTTATTTATTGACTAATGTGTAAACATAATTTCCATCGAAGCTGATAATAGTAATGTGTAGCAAATCTGAAATTATTTCACACAATAGAAGCACTAAGTAAATATCTAATTATCGTAATTTATTTTAAACGATTCATACCTAATATTCGCACGAGAGGGACAATGTGGTGAAAGCATGTTTGGTTAAACGTCCAACATGGATTAAATTTCTTTTCTGGTTCAACCTTTGGGTAGGTATACCATTGCAGGTAATGCTTATTACTTAACGTAGAACAGGGAAAATCCATCTGATTCTGAGAAAGATTTATTCACAGGTGAATAGTGACGATAATATAGGTACCTATACCTAATATTGTGGGCATTCATAATTCTTCTTTTGTTATAACAGTAGGTGCTAAATAGCCATTGTATTAGGATTCATTCATACTGCCCTTTAGATTGTTTATTAAAATTGAACAAAAAGATCAGTATTATAAGGGATAAATAGGATAGATCCAGATATTTTGATAAAAAAGGTAACTGAACATCAATACTTTTCGAAAAAAAATATTCTAAAATACTGTAACTAATAACAAAATATTTCTATTATCTATTATATATTGAAATAAATGAACAATGGAATGATATACCTATTTAAATAAATAAAGAAAAAATAATATTCAATTGGAGTACTGTAAAACGTAACTAAATAAACACTAAACCACTCGAAATTCGACAAAACGTTTAGTTATGTAAGAAGTAATTTGACACTCAAGGTGCTGTCCTTAGGACTGATGGCACCTTGGGTGTCTTACCCGACTAGAATTTATAGAATCTATAGGTGGCACGCCTCATGTACCGTGTGGGCCTCATGAGGCAAAAAAAACATGCCGATAAAGCAATTTCCCCGTAGGTTCCTTGTTATAACCCCCTTACCCATAGCGATGCTGATGTGAGGTATGCCTTAAAAACAAGCGGGAAAATCCCACCACCTGCCTTATGTGAGTTCGATTGGGCAAACATCAGATAAGTGAACTCTTTTTAGACAAACTTATGTGGGCTCTATTTTTAAAGAATTAACTGATGGTGTAATTTGATTAATTTGATTGTACCATGCGACTCTCAAGTGGCAAAAAACACATGTCGATAAAGGGATTTCCCCGTAGGTTACTTGTTATAACGCACCCTCTCCCTTAGCGGTACTGATGTGAGGTATGCCTCACAAACAAGCGGGGAAATCCCAGCTTCATGTGAGTTCGATTGAGCAAACTTCAGATGTTTGAACTCTTCTTAGACAAATTTGTGGGTCCTATTAGGAAATCATTAGTTGATGGTGTAATCTGATTGTTTCTCCCAATTCTTTTAGAACAGGAAGAAAACAATATGCGGAATTCATAATACTAGTGATGCGGGAATGAAGCAAGGCGTTAGGTATATGCCCTTTGGGCCAGCCTTATGAGGTAGTGTGCCTCAATTCCTAGGGCCTCTATCTGCCCTTATCCTCAAAATTCTAGTAACTAAACGTTTTGTGAAATTTCGGAAGTTCTAATGTTTATTTATGTATCTATATGAAAAGATTTTAACTGTCTACCTCGGTTAGTAGTAGTAGCTACAAAAATAATTTAAAACTTCATGAAAGAATATATATTATAAAATGATGGGCAAATTGTAAATATTGTGGCGAAAATTTTTATTATTATATTCTAAAGAGAATAATATTTAAGTTCACGTTTTCCCATCAGTTTATATTGCATTTCATGTTCAGACTGCAGGAAAAGTCGTATAGAGTTGAAACAATTCTTAAAGTATATTTTTGCTGTGATTGTTTGTGCTTTTGCGACGGTAAAGTAAAATATATCATTAGTTTTACTTTTTTACTTGAAAATATTCTATTTTTCTGAGATAATTTTCATTACAATACTAAAGTGGTTTGAAAACTTCGGCTTTCAAACTCAGCGAATAAATAATTGTATTACTTTTATCAACAATAATAGATAGGTACCTATACTGTACACATAGATACTATAAGCTTTACAATGTTTAAATTATTATTATTTGATGTAGGAACCTCATATACGACAAAAAAAACTCAGTATGCGTTAATCAAACTTTAAAGAATTAGTCCAATTTTCTTTGCTAACTTTTTCTTCTCTGGATTAGAGATATAGGTACTCATTATCAATAAGAACTAACTTAATAACCGTACCGTAGCTATGTACCATAAGAAAATCTAAATGAGTTTGTTCGAGTTAGAACATGTATTCAAAAGGACCTTTATAATATTTCAAATCATAAATTAGAAATCTCCAAGTTTCCGCCTACAACTTCAGAGTTTCATCAAAGCTCAGTATTGTCCAATAAAATGTTGTAATAAATAAACACAAGATTGTCTAAGGTAGTTATAGCATTAGGGCACATTATTTAAAATGCCAATAAACTAAAACTGTATTAAGAACGTCAATTTGAGATCAGAATGAGAATTTCTATTTGTTGATGCGACAAATATATATATATGAAGGTATATCAATAATATTATCTAAGCTGAAAAAACTTCTTCGCTGTTTTAATTAGAAGCATACCTGTGTCTATAATCGTATAATAAATAGGTAACAGTTTATTGCTAACGTAAGTAAACACATAGGTACCGACGGTGTTTTAGTTACTTCGTGAAATCAGACAAAATCCGCATTGTTAGGGGTATTTTAAAAATATTAAAACAGCATTTTCTTCTTAATTAGATTATCTTCATTATAGTTTTCTAATAAATAGAATAAAAAAGATCTACCTGTTTTTAGCTGCAGCCGCTCTGTCTCTTTGCCTCCGATTCTTGAACCAATTTCCAACTTGTGTTGGTGTTAGTCCCGTAGCCTGAGCGAGCTCCCTCTTCTTCGTCGGATTAGGATAAGGATCCTGTAGATACCATTCCCTCAACAAGCTCCTAGTCCTTTCTTTAAAACAATGTGTCTTTTGTTCACCATCCCAAATAGTCCGCGGTAACGGGAATTTTTTACGCACACGATACTTATCGACCGGTCCCAGGGCCCTTCCTCTCAATTTTTCTGCTTCCTGATAATGGGCTTCCAGCCACATGGCTTGCAGCTTCCCGTGTGAACTTTTGGTGAACTTGTGATGTTCCAAAATGTGATACAGTTCTCTGAAATTGCCGCTGTGAAAGGAAACTATTGCTCTCGCCCTCAGGACCGTCTCGTTCTTGTTGAGCTCACCGATGTTCGGATGGGCAACCGGAAGTGACCACAGGAACCTGGCGAGCCTCTCGATATCTCCGCTTTCTTCCAACGTTTCACACACCGCCGCGACTTGTTCAACGGTAAAGTTCAGGGTTGGCAATGCAAACATGGGATTGGGCATGATGGGCGCTGGGGCTATTGGAAGCGGTACGCTGACACCGGGAGATGAGGATGTATCAGATCGATTTCCAGAAACGGGCTCCGAGCTCCCTGAACAGAGCCCGGAGCTCAGTCCAAGAGCCATATGGGTGGCCAGTGTTGCTGCCCAAAACACTGACCTCTTCCTCAACAAATCTTCCTCATTACCAACCACTTCGAGGCTTTTGCTAAACAACTCGCGTCACAACACCAATTCAATAAATAATATCGCAGGTAGGTATATTGTCCCAAAGAGTCTCACCCGAGCTTTTTTATTTCTCTCGCTATTCCTTCAAAGATTGTGGAGTTGGTATCTGTTAGGAAAGGCGCGATGTCCTTTGAAGCATCCATATGAAGGTTTGGATAACTTAACACTAGCTAATCGGTTAGATATCTTCACTTAATCAATTAAAGTGATTTAATCCTAAGGGGGAATATTGATTATTTATTGTTTGACTAGCACCAGATTTAGCGGCTAATCCTGAAATCCTGCATCAGGATTTTGAGTGTTTCTGGCGGTACATGTATTCTAGAAGTCCACTCGGATCCTATCGTTTATGAGCAGTGCTGATGGAATCACAGAAATCCACAGTACCTTTCATCAAATGGCATTCCGATCCTTCTTCGGCGAATATCCTTATTTGAAGGTGTCCGGTTTCAAATCCAAACAAGCGCATCTTCTGATGGGAATTTGGTAAACTCACAAAAGTCTTCACCGAAGGGAATACCGCACTCCTTGCTCCATGAACACTGAAGATTTAGTAACTGCTGAGTTCTTGATTGAGATATTGAAAAACAGTTTTTTGATTAATTTGTGAAACACAAACAGACTACTTGTACCTGACCCACGGTTCTAGCCACGTAGTGCGACTGACATGTTTAGTTCTTCACCGGAACGGTCCTCCGGAGTGCTTGACGATCATTGGTTAACGCAAGGCTGTTGCCACGGTTACAACCGGAATCGACCTCCAATGACACTCAATGAAGTGGGGGGAATATGAGGCCGGTGGGTGTTGCTTTCTGGTATCACTAGGAAAAGCCCCCCCGTGGAAATGAGAACTTGTGTCGTAAACCTAACTCGAGCTGATGCTTAAAGTGGCCCTACTCCAAAGCTCGTTCCTCTGTGCGGACGGTGCCACCGGATGGCGTCTGTTTTTCATGGAAAGATATCATTGTTTTTCTTGGCTTATTCCAATGATGTAGTACGTATGACATCCACGTCTGTCTCACCCTTCACATGAAATCAAGAAAGTCATCTCAAGACTGATATGTGTTGTGGATCTATTCAATATTTGAGTTTGAATGAAACCGCAAAAAGCAGAATTATCTTTCTCTATTTTTAAATATTTTCACTTTAAATTTTCAATGTTTTCCACTTTAAATTTCCAAATATTTCCACATTTTCCACATTAATTTTTACATTATTTTTTCCAAAGATTCGCAATCACCAACTCATCAAACTCTTAAAGCAAAAGTCCCCCATCAGAAAGCTTGACGTGGACCATATTGTTTCAGTTCTTTTCCGTCGTCTTATTGTAAATTTATCCCACCTACCACCGTACCGTTATTAGGTAAGTATTCGGGGGATTCCTTGGTTTTCAGCTCCATCCTGTGCATGTCATCAGAGACTGCTGTCGCTACTTTTTCTGGCGCCACTTGTCAGCCTATCTAAACAAAGCGTTCAACATCAATAATAACAGACACTCTACAATATTCTTTGCTTCGGAAGGAGCATCGGTCTTATTAAACGCGAACTGGCAAACATATGGCTCACATGGGTGGCAAAAAACTGCGCTCTAAAATAAATGAAATATAAGACGTCCCAAGAATATTTTTATCTTTACTAAATTGCTCGTACGTAGTCCGATACACATTGATTGACAGAACAGCTTTATGTTATTACTTCCATTTTTAATATCTGATTTAATGTAAATTTTTTTGGGCTTTCACATTAATTCATAGGAGCATGTAATGAAAATTTTAAACAGAAAGAAGTTTTTTATGTGGTTATTTATTTGTGTCAGGCTCATCCACCAAAGTTAATTATCATCATCATCATAAGGTCGTCAGTCCTAAGACTGGTTGGATACGCACTTCCACTTTTTCCTATCCTGAGCTAATCTTCGCATTTCCCTAAAACTAGAACAACCCACATCCTTAAGTATTCACGAACAGTAATCTAATCTACCTCTACTCCTCTTAAGTCCTGTTTCTGTCTCTAATATGTCTCTGACTAGACCTTCATGCCTGAGAAGGTGTCCTACCAACCTATTTCGCCTATTTCTTATTGACTTCCATAGAATCTCTGTTCTCCCATTCTTTATAATACCTCTTCATTTCTAACCTTCTCTATTCTAAATTCAGTTTAACAATCTTTTTCGAATTTTTTGATTTCTTTTTATTGAAGGCGATTCGACCTTGCGCTATCCTCTGCTTTATATCCCTACTACTCCTTCTGTCCTGAGTTATCTGACTTCCTATAGATATCTAAAATCAGCCACTTCTTCTAATCTTTCGTCTCCTATCTTTATATTCGTTTTTTTGCTACTTTTTCTTCCCTTGCATACTAGTATTTTTGTTTTACTTTTATTTACTTTCATGAAGCTATTTCTACCTCCTTCTTACTAGATGCTAACACTGCTATATCATCTGCAAATCTAAGCATACTAATCTTTTGCTGCTATATATCTCTCTACAGTTGTAAAAAAATTGTAGTTATTTATGAAGTAACTTTTCAATCAACGTTTTGCATGTTTTGTCTAAATATTTAGGAATTTTTATACACTCTCTTGCAAAAGAACGCCTTAGCTTTTGCTCTGTGGCTTGTTACCTAAATACGTGACTGATGGTGATTGTAAGAAGTCTGAAAAAGTAGAAATAAGTTGAAGAAACGTACTATGAAAATAATTACAAAATAAGGCACATTCACACAATTCTTTTTCTCGATAACTGTATCGATATCAAATAATCATCTTGGACTAAAATTAAATCAACTAAATATTCTATAACTGTAAATTAAATTGATATTTCAACAACTAGCATCTAAGTAGAAATTATTTGACATAGGTAGTCTTTATCTCAATTTGTTTGTACGTCGGGAATTCCCCAGTCTAATTTATCAAAACAACGAAACGTTACTATAAAGGGAGACGGCGAGAAAGAGAGCTTTGCTCGGGCTTTTGGTCGTCGAAATGAAATCAAATCTGTGCCGAGGAAAATAAGTGTAAGAAATTGACGTCGAATGAAAATTGAAAAAGGAAATTTCTTTTCAGACCCGATTGTGTCACGCTCAGATGGATGGCACGGTCACCAGTCCCTTTCTTTCTCATGGCTCGCCATCTACTCCCTTCTTCACCCCTTTCGTTGCTTCGCCTCGTCGTCGTGGAGTATTTTTTACAACGATGCTTTCTCAGGTGAGTAACTTTTTTATTTTTTTATCCAAACAGATATGTAGATTACTCGAAATTTATTAAGGTACATTAAAGGTCTCGGCATTCTAAGTTCATTAAAAAACAGTGCGGAACGACTAGTCACACGGCTCACTCACTAATGCATAGATATCTAAAAATACATAGGTACATGAAATTTTTGCACAAAAAAGTTTTGTGTAAAATTTGACCAATATAATAACAATTCGTAAACGGCATACGGCATACAAGGTCAGAGGTTAAAACAACTCTTTGAATTGCCACACTACTACCCTAATGGGGTGCGGATTAAGTCAGTCGAATGATAATTTTCCAGTTGACGGTACGTCTCGTGAGGGAAATTACAATATTTATGATGTCATTTAGCGCCCGTTGGCGTCGCGGACAACGCCGACGACGTCGTGCGTCGATTTCACATTGTGCACGCCTTCGTTCCTTATTCATCGAACATTTGCACCATGTTACTTTCACTCGAATCAAAGTCGGATATATCCGCGCAATTTGATGTTCACTGAGCCGACAAATAAATTACTTGGACAATATCAGATGTATTTGATGATATTTTAATTCTTTTTTAATTGTTGTATTTTCCGAAAATTTTTTTTTTTGATCATTAACAGTAGTTTTTTTTTATTGCAATTTTTTTTAGAACGTTTGTAAAATTAAAAGAGAGCAACATTCATATTTTTAATAATTTATTTATTAAAAATTGACTAACAGATACTTTCTTGGCTTAGTATTACACCAAAATGTGAAAAAATCTCATGAGTTTCACCATTTTTTATAATCGTCAAAAGGCACTCATTCATCGTAAAATTATTAGCTTAATTCACTAAATAAAATTTGCAAAGGTATCTGATGTTATCAGTTATTTTAAGGGACAGCGGCGAGTGAAAACTGTTTTGAACTAAAGAAATAGTAAGTAACTAATTGCACACAATTTTATTTAATGAATTAGCAATTAACAGTAAATTCATTTTAAATATTAAAAATTGGATTTGATAAATATTAAAAAGTATCTATTTAATAGATACATATCATCTATTTTATTTCATTCAAATTACTCAAATTTTGCATATATCTTAAACATTTAGTTATTTACTATTTTTTTAGCAAAACTAGTTTCTCTAACCATTAGGTATCTATAGATCAATTTGTAGGTGCAATTTTCAAAAACTTTTTGTCGTTTTAAGAATGCACATCTATTAGTATAATCTTACAACTTTTTCAACCCTTAATTTCTCGCACTATTTCATTGACAAGGTGGTTTCTTCGTTGAAATTACACTGTGCTCTTCCGGGAACGCGATTATAACGTATTAGTTGGCAAGCTGTAGTACAGAGACGGTGGTACATTTTGTAACTTAATCTACATATATACATTTGGAGCCTAAAAGGCAGTACGAAGTGCAGATAGAGCTGGGGCTAAACATCACCGGTGTCAATCATATTTGCCAAATCCGCTTTTCCCATTGAAACTTGTCAGATTAGTGGTTCTAAATGCACCCTGCGTCTATATGTCTCTATATCTACCCGCATTGTACACATTTAGACATGCAAAAAGAACCATATAACAACAACAGCAGTCTCCAACACCACCAGGGGCGCAAACACAATTTCAGGTTGGGAAGAAATGATCCCCATAAAAATTAGAAGTTTCCTGTTAAGTTAGGATGGTTGTCAAAATCAGAAACATCTTCAGCATAATTATCATTTATGAACTAATATGTGCTTAGTTAAAGAAGTTAGGAATAATCGTTTACTAGACAGTTTTGAAAGTTTATACATTTATAAAAATAAACAAATTGTTCTTAACAATGACAACGATCCTATCCCNAATCTAGTGTTGCCCAACATATTCTTACTGATGGACATAATATTAATATTAATAACCTTAAGTTAGTTAAAGAAGTTAGGAATAATCGTTTACTAGACAGTTTTGAAAGTTTATACATTTATAAAAATAAACAAATTGTTCTTAACAATGACAACGATCCCATCCCTGGATCTCCGCTATTTAGTCTAGTTTAATTACGTTTATGATTGTTAAGGTCCATTGAACATCTACCTTGTTGGCATCGGGTCATGTTCACTGAACCTTAACAACTTTCAGTATAAATTAGGATTAGTTCTCATTTAGGTTTAGTTTATTTCAGTCCCTGAAGAAGGTAACATTGTTACCGAAACGTGCTTCGGACAATTACAGTGTCGTGTTTTGGCGTTGGGGTTTTGAGCTATTCTGTTTGTTCTACAACAACCGCCAAAGTTTTTCCAATCTTGATATTAAACTAATATGTCATACAAAATCTTATACATAATATTAGACACGGTTTGAAAGCCGAAGTCTCCCTGTGTGTACGCCACTGATTATTTCCCTTGTCGTTTCTCCCATATTGGAGCCGTTTTGTTAGATTAAATGTACTCGGTATACGATTAAAGAAGTGCAGAAAGGTATTAATATTAATTTGTGTTTAATTCAAAGCTAAAACAGTGGATTGATTCAAGCCATATCCATTTGTAGGATTTAGGGACTTCTTAATCATCCATCAGGAAAGCTGCATGCTAAATTAGTTATAGTTGCATACTCTAATAAACAAATAATAATTAATTGATTTCGGAAGTTTTCATCAAGGTAAACCATATTTGACCAGTATAGTTAAATATTAAATTGAGCTTTAAACTAAAGCAGTAGAATTACTGGAAAATAGTTAATAACTTAATCATCGGTAAACTATAAAAAAATACCAGGTATTGGAACAGCTCATTTTTTGAAAAATTAAAAGAAAACGGAAGTATTAGATATGCAAACTGCTTTCAGGCAATTAAGTCTGACATCATGCCAATTATTAATTTGACTGGTATTTTGTCACTGATTGTGATGGATCATTAAGTAGGTATCATAATTATCCTATTTGAACAGTGTAACACATTTGTGACTATAATTATCCCTAGGTACTTAATACATCGTCATTAAGAACTAGATTTAGAAATTTAATCGTTTTTAACACTTCACCTAATATATATTTAGACTACAGTATAATTTAATTCACTTTTAAATGAATAGGGAATCTGAACCTCTAGAAGATATGAAGGATACAGAAATATTTGGTACTTATGCCAGAAAAAGAAAATGTAAATTTAGAATACGAAAAGTTAGGCGAAGTCAATCATTTTCGGTATCTAGGAAGTCAGGTAATTCAGGATGGAATGGATGGAACAGAAGATAGAACAAGGTAGAGTCGCCTTTAACAAAAATAGTCACTTGAATGCTTTCGACCAGTTAATTTAGAAATTTGGAAAAAGTTGTTAAAAGTGTATGTTTGGAGTGCGGCACTGTACGGGTGCGAAACCTGGACTGTGGGCGCTATAGAAAAGAGAAGGTTAGAAGCGTTCGAAATGTGGTGTTACAGGAGAATGATGAGGATACAGTGGATAGAGAAGGTTAGAAATAAAGGAATTACAAAGAATAGGAAAACAGGATTCTATGGAAGTCAATAAAGAATAGGCGAGATAGGTTTGTAGGATACCTTCTCAGACATGAAGGTCTAGTTAGGGTCATGTTACAGGTACACCTAGAGTAGATTACTGTTCACAAATAGTTAAGGATGTGGGATGTTCTGGTTTTAGGGAAATGCGATGATTAGCTCAGGATAGGAAAGAGTGGAGGTGCGTGTCCAACTAGTCTTAGAACTGACGATCTTATGATGATGATGATGATGATGATACAGGGAGTATGCGCATGTGGTTTGTGACATTAAACACCAGCCGCCACTGGTTATACCTAAATATAACTAGATTAAAAAGCTTTCAAAATATGCTTGGTTCTTCGTGAGTTTAGCGTATAGTAACATAACACCGAATTCACTCGTTTTATTCTCCAATAACAGCCACACGGCAGATTAATTTACATTTTTCGGTAAGCAGAAAAATTGCCATAAAAATTACAAAACGCATCTCTGACTCTTCTATGTGATGCTGTTGCGCAAAGAAAGGCCCCATTAAACAGAGTTTAGTTGGCGAAGGCAGTGCTCACGCAGAGCTCAAATTTCAGCTGATATTAAATTGGTAACAAAAAGTCTTACTCAGATCGTACAGACTTTGCGAACCCTTCCAACCAAACCGAGCTCGTTCAAATGATCTCCCGACTGAAACGAGACGCTCATCTTCTAATAATAAGGTGACCGATTACAGGCTAAATTTGATCTTCACCGAATGGCGTATCGATTTTTTAAGGATGATGGTATTTTCAAACAAACAAAACCTATTTTGTATTTAGTTAATACGGCTACAAAACTACGCCTTTTAATTAAATAAAAAAATAATCGATCTGAAGACTATACATACACGTAAAATCTTAAACTATAAAGTGGAAAATAATATTTTAATTACATTAAAGCAAAGTGCATTACAGAATAAGTGACAAAATCATTTGTACTTATGTACATTTACAATTTATAATCAATTATTTTTGGAGTCGGTACCAGTCAATAAGGACAATTTAATCCTGCCTTTGCAGCAACCCTTTCTTTCGATTTCTTTTATCTGATCTCTATTTTTGCATTCATATATTAATTAATTAATCAAATAGGTTATTTTTGCTTCTACTGGTACCGACTCGAAAAATAGTTGATTATAAATTGTGATTGTATACGGGTATTATCAATGATTATGTCGATTGTAGTGCAATGCACTTTGCTTTGAAGTAATTAAAAAATTATTTTCTATTTTTTGGTTTAAGTTTTTACATGTAAGTCTAGACTTGAAGTCGGTTTTTATTTTTAACTATAAAGTAATTTTAGTTTTCAATTTTTAGTGTGTAAACATTTTTTGTTTTTGTTGATTTTTTCAAAAAGCACTGAATCAATTTCGATAAAATTTACATGTGACTACGTCTGAAGTATGGCCTACCAAATAAAAAAAGAATCATCATGATCAATTCATAATTGGTGGAGTAATCGCGTAACAGACATACAAGAAAAAAACAGCCCAATTGAGAAAATCCTCTTTTTTTGAAATCGGTTAAAAAGAAAAACAGAAAGGAAAATTCAAGTGAAATTAACTTCCTATTTATTTGTTAGAGTAAAAATTGCGTTGCTTCTACATTTTCAGTTTCTTCACTGTACTACAGTTTCTTTATTAGCATATAATAGACATAACTAAATTAATAAATTTATTGGTAAAATCAACAAGCAAACTATATCTAAATGAGAACTTTACATCAGCTTGTATTAGCACGTATTTGGTAGACATACATCATATATAGTAAGGGTGTTTGAAGGGGACATAGAAGCAACATCCCTTGAAAATTGGCATATGTACACACGTATTTACATCCGAAAATAGTAGTAGAGTATAGACAAGCATAAACAGTGTCCCCTACGGTTTTTGAACATCGTTTTAACTTAATAGGATCAAACGATTGCATGTTTTGTTACAATTACTGTTCAGGAATAAATCGTCAATAATAATCTTGTACTCTATTTGCTTCACACGAGTACAATCGTTGGATTACCAATGTAATCTTTCCGCAATAAATAGTGTACTGTGTAACACTGTTTAGAGTTAACGTAAAAACTTTTAAACCCTTGCACAATTGATCTGAATGCGGATTGATTCAAACGAATCATATCAAGGATTACGTAAAATCGTACATAAGTTGCAGGGGTGCACATATAAAATTCCATATTGGGGGAAGACTGAATAAGTCTTTTAATAATAAGTGGACAGAAAATGATTATCTCATTATCAACTTGAAAAAATTGATGACATGAATATGAATTTATTGATACTATGTAACAAAGTAAAAGAAAAAATTAGTAGAAAAAAATAAATAATTAGATGCATCCAAAAGTAATTAAAATTGAAGTAAAGGTTATCAAAATTTATATATTTATGCCTCTGTTAGAAAATCGTACAAAAGCTCATAACATTTGAGTTCTAATCTCTGTTATTATTTGAAAATTAGGTGATTTATATTATTAAGTTTTTACAGTTCGGTTTTATTAATTCAAAAAGTAGAAATTTCAAAATCTATTGTAAGTCCACTTCCCTTATTTAGCATTTGTAATTTATTGTTTTAAAGATATGTAAGGTTTTGATGTTAAAAAATGGTAACGCTTTTCAACCATATACAAAAGAAGTCTTTAATAGTATCACTAATAAATAAATATTTTTATGCACGTAATATTTTGGGATTTGTTCGAGAAATGTTTCACGTAAAAAAGTTACTTTCGTGAAAATAATCGTTTTCTACTTTTCTGTAAGTTAAATTATCAGTTGTAATATTTGCTGTATGTTGGGTTGTCTATATACATAAATATCTTCGAAATTGTAGTTTAATTTATTGTAAAATAATATAGAAATTAGCATCCCTAATTGCATATACATGAGGAAACTATAATTTAAAGATGAACATTCATCAATTTACTCCAATTAAACCGGAATTATAGATCAATAAGAAGCTTTTTCTTAAATTGTCCCGGCGCCTCCACCAAAATTTTAAAATAATTTTTTTGATAACATTTATCTTCATAAATATCTTATTTTCGGCATTCAAAGGATAGTTTGCAATAAAAGTTACTATGTTTTCGTAATAATTAGCAACTAAATGCTTTTTTTTAAAAGACAGTGCTGTTTGTGAGATATTTAATGTGCGTCCCTTATTTAATTTTTTTCAATTCCTCCATAGTTATCTGGGTTAGGGACAAAAGAACAGTAAAAAATACAAAATTATTACTTAATAAAAAATCATAACTTTTGCTTTAACGATTTAATGTTACAAAAGTGGTAACTCTATTCAACCATATGCAAAAGGTGTCTTTAATAATATCACTAGTAAATAAATATTTTTATGCACGTAATATTTTGGGGTTTGTTCGAGAATAGTTTCATATAAAAAAGTTACTTTCGTGAGAATAATCGTCTTTTACTTTTCTTTCAAGTTAAATCATTAGAATTATAATATTTGCTGTATGTTGGGTTGTCTATATACATAAATATCTTAGAAATTGTAGTTTAATTTATTGTAAAATATTCGACCGATAGTTTGCAATGAAAATTACTATGTTTTCGTAATATTTAGTAACTCAATACTTTTTTTTAAAAAAAAATGTGAAAGGTTTTCAACCAAATTTTACTATCTATTTAATGTGGAAGCAGTAAAAATGTTTCCAAATTAGTTCCGTATAATTTATTCTGAAGCAATTTACGTTTATCGACTACAGAGTTGGGTTAACGAGATCGGATGGTATTGTAACAGAATGTTCAACGGACCATAAGCCTTTGTAAGTAAATAAAAGCTTTCTCAACGAGAGACGATGATGTAGTTGCTTCATTGGATTGTCGTAGATATTTAAGGGGCCACTGTTCTGCAATTCTCCCTGTGTAACCATCAGACTTCGGGCCAGTCGTTTTAAATGTAAATAGCACAATAGCGATTACCCCACGTCCACCCTTGCCTATTGTATTTTTCTGCGCCACCAACTCCCCGTGCCGTTGCTACCCCTCCGCGTACTCATGCTGCGTCCGACAGAGCGAAAAATAATTGATAACAGTTTGATTAGATTGTTACATTTAAATTCAATGTTTTCTCTTCAAATCTACCGGTCATCACACACGGACAAATACACATAATACACTGTAGACTGTTAGGTATTTAAATCGATGTCTCATTGATCTACCGGGATCGTTCTTGATCGATTTTTACCTTTTGGAAGTCAGCAGAAAGCTTATTATGAGGTTCTTCTTCATGAAATATATTCTTAAAACCTAAATAAAGCAAAATTCTGAGGAATGGCACCGAAGGGATAATCTTTATTAAGTATCCATCAATTGGAATTAATGTTTTCATTCCCGAAATTCCATGTGTTCAGGAAGTAAGGGTAAATTTCAACAAGACCAATATTCTTTCTAAACTAATCAGGTCTAAGTATTTGATACCAATTCATATGATATCGTACCGCATTCTGATAGGATTTCCTTCACCAAAAATGCAATTTGTAGATGATTTATTTTTTATTTCACTTTTATCCTGTTTTTATACTCCTTGGATCATCCTTGACTAATTCGTTTAAGTGGCTTCAATGCATGTTCTATTGTTTATTTATTATAATATAAACTCTGTTTTATATTAAGTTATTTGGATTATATCTAGCCTTATGATTATTTGGATTTGATAAGGAAATGATAAGTTGTAGGCACATTCAATGACTCAATGCGCAAAATAAATAACGATTGTTAAGGTGTACCTACAGATTATTATTTATCGGTATTTAAAAGCGTAAAAGTTGTGCGGAAATTTGTGGAAAATGTTTTTATTACACATTCGTGCATTCGCGTTTTTGTATTTGCTGGAAATTGGTTTTGGACAAAGTTCGTCGTCTAGCTTGTGTAGCATTCCCAAACAAGAACATAAGTGTCTTTGCTCGGTGGTTATTGATTCAGAACTTTCTTACAACGTGATGCATAAACTGGATTGCTCTCGAAATGGCTTCGATTCGTTTCCTGATTATCAGTTGATTACTGAAGCTGGACATTTGGACTTGTCTTTTAATAAAATAGAAAAGTTGGATGGTAGTGTTAGCAATGTAGAAAATCCTGTTCTACATTCGTTAATTTTATCCTTTAACAGTATCTACTATGTAAGCACCGATTATTTTAAGAATTTGCCCAATTTGAAGCATTTGGATTTGAGTCACAATGATATAGCTTCGTTCGTTAACTCTAATGTTTTTAATGGCCTGAGTAAACTCGAAGTTTTGGACTTAAGTTTCAACAGTATTTCAACATTACCCGAATACATTTTTTACCCCTTGTCAGGTCTCCGTAGCTTAGATATTAGTTATAACTATTTGGGTGCATTGTTTACCAAATTGGACAATATATTTAATTCAACATTAGGATTAACCAAAGAAATAAACAAACTTTCAATGAACGGCTTGGATATTAAGTATGTACTTCATACATTCTTTGATGGGGCCAACCAATTAACATATCTGAGTGTAGCAGACAATCCATTGCTTGAAGTACCAACAATTCCTTATTCGGTAACATATTTGGATATATCTGGGACCTGGGTGGCCGTTTTACAGGGGAAACACTTAAACTATCATTCCCTACAAATTCTAAAAATGAACAGAATGCCGAACCTTAGGAAAATAGATCGATACGCTTTCTACACTCTACAGTCTTTGATTGAGTTAGAAATGAACGATAATCCAAATTTAAAGGACTTAGAAAGTGTAGCATTTGGAATTTTATCAGAAAAAACCGACCTTCATTTAAAGAAAATGTCTGTAGCCAGGTGCGGTTTAAAAGGTGTGAATGAATCATATCAGTTTTTGTTTAACAAATTGGATTATATCGATCTACAGGGAAATCCCTTTACCTGCGACTGCAACATATTTTGGTTGCAAAAGTTCGAAGATTCACTAAATCAGAAACAAAATTTAAGGTAAAAAATATTATAATATCATTCCATAATCGTAAAAATGTTCAGTTTTAAATCAATTTTTATTAAGAATAAATAATGTTGAATTGTTCCTTAATGCACCTTGTATAACATTACACTATATTTTGATTGCTCCTCGTATAACTCTCCTGGATTATACGATGTTCAATCAAAATAGATTTTGATGTATTATAGGGTGTGATAAGAAAATTTCTGAATTAAATTAAAACTAGGTTTCCAAAGTGACCAATTTCTAACGTCATTAGTAGAGTCTATTATCGTTATTAGTATAATTTAATCATGATAATTATTTAGATGCGTGAAACCTTTACGGCTTCGGATGAAAAATATATTGGATCTTACTCATGAGGACTTACCCCAATGTGAATCAGAGGAAAATCAAAAGCAAAAGGTCATAATTATTGTTTTGTCGGTGCTTATTGCAGTCCTGATCATTTTCGTTGTGTATTTAATTTATTTGGGTCCCCTTTACTATCAAAATAAGTACAGAGAGATTGGACCTGACTCTCCTTATGGCCTTGTTGTAGATATTCAACCAAACAGAGTCGAATAGGAATTTGTATTATTTGTTTAATTTTTATATTGTAATTTGTTACTTTTTATTGGTGTTAAATATAGGTAGGTACTCCTTTTTTTGTATAAAAGATTAGACTCTTATATATCTTTAGAATCTGAGTGGCATTTTCATTTGTTCAATATGATAAAATATAAGAAAAATTGGTAAAAATGAATAAATTAACCACTATCAACAATTTAATTTAAAATAACATTGTTTTAAGAAACTTATTAAACTCAGTTATGGGGGACATTTTTCATACTCTTATAGACATCTAGCCTTTAATATATCTACGTCAAAATTAAACCAAATTTAAAGAAAAAATATTTATTAGAAATTAGAGCAAAAATTAGGTACATAAAAGCAATCAATTCTTCTTTGTATCTTTACCACATTGAAATAAGAAAAATTAACATATAATAAATTGCAATGCAAACATATTTTACAATTCTCATTCATGATCAAATAGTGTAATATTCCAGTAGAAAGGCTCTTAAATGAGTAACTTATTAAAGTGAAAACAAACATTTATAGCCTTTCTACATTAATATATTAAAACTTGAACAAACAGTTAGCATAATTAGGCTTTAAAAATACACACAATTTTTTAAAATGAGCAGTTAAATTAAGCAAGAATGAGTAAAATATAATCAACAATCAATAATTATTAAGACACTAAAACATTTCCACGACTTTCTGATGGTTTAGTCTCTTTCTGATCATCTTTAAAGTCATCTTGACCCCCAACTTTGATATTGTGCTTCTCTTTGTACTCGACCAATTCCATTCCTTTTTTCCAAAACTGCTCATTAACTTTCTCTATTAACTCTGCCAATTTGGTCTGATTTAACTGGAGCACTGGTAAAATGTCTTTAACCTTTTTCTGCATAAGAACCCCACCAACCATCCGATAACAAGTCCTATCTTCATTAACTTGTTTCAATGTTTCTATCACCATTCTGAGGAAGAAATATTATTAATTTTGCTTTATAAAAGAAGGAAAATATTATACTTGTGCTCATTTTCCTCAAGTTCTAACTCTGCAACTTTTGTTGCAATGTTACGTTGATCCAAACGCAATTGATTAAAGCCATTTATTACTTCTTCTGGCGTAGGACCCTTCTGAGACTTTTTATCTTGCTTTTTTGAATCACTAGCCATTGTAAAATATTCAAATATCGATAAATTTACTTATTTTATTACAAAGTTAACCTGTAACACGACCTTTTACGCCAACTGTCAAAATTTTCACTTTAAATGTATCAAAAGTATCACCCATCCGGAACATAAAGTTGAAAGGATTGCTTTTGCTTTTTTATGTTTAATTTAATTTCTGAAAGCAGGGAGTTCTGACTAAACGGAATTTCACCTGATAAGTAAATAATTTAGCTTAAAATCTATTGATTAATTCGTATTTACAATATAATTCGACTTTGACGATGGTACTTTTAACACATCCATGTGATTGGTATGCAAAGGGAATTTTAATTTCAGGAGTTGGTTTCATTGGTTATCGTTGTCACTGTTTTGGTGACATTTCTTTAAACAATTATAATTGTATTATTTTTCAAACTAACCTTATCAGTTTTACAGAAAAAAGATGTTTAAAAAGAGCAAATAGTATCTTTATAATAACCACTTAGTGAAAACGTTAAAAGTTTCATATGTTCCTTTCACAATTTAAGTTCATTTCTAATAACCCGTTATAGTAATTATCCGGTAGCCATATTTAAGTGAAAATTATGGAAACTGGAAATACTGTATAATTATTCATTTTATTATAATTTTTATGAAAAGAAGACGAACTACAGTTACTTTCTGATTCTACCATAAATTAAACAAGAACTCTTGACTGGTGAGTGAACCGTTGAATTCTGTGCAACTGAAGTTACTTGTATATGCTACATTGTAACTAAAACCGACCATATTCATAAATTTCTTTACTGAAAACGTACAATATAGAGTTCCTAATGCTGGCAACAATTTATTATATTCCTGACGCAACGTATTTATGGGCATTGAAACAGTTTGTAACATGGAGACTGAATCAGTAAAGTCGGAAAATAGTTCACGTTCCCGGCGTTCCAGAAGTCATAGAGAACGTAGCACACATCGTCAGTATTCTTACAGAAGTACTAGGTTCGTATGTATAGTTTATTTTATAAATATTAAACGAATTAATAAGTTTGCATATATTGAAAGCTAATTTTTAGGAGTAATAAGTCCACTCGTAAAAACGACTCAATGGCCCCATTTCAAACAGCAGTTACTCTCAATGCCGATTCCCGTGAAGGTCAAGAGGTTATTGAAGTGCAAATATTACCCCAGGATGATAACTGGGGAGAAAACACAACAGCAGTAACTGGAAACACCTCAGAACAATCACAGTCCACTGAAGATGTGAGCAATTGGCCTGGGGAGCCAGATGCAGGCTTAGGATTCTATTGTTTTCAATACATGGGGTCAATTTTTACTTATGTGCTATCAGCAGCTGCTTTTCTGAGTCCAGTTGCCATGGTGATACTCCCAAAAATCGGATTTTTCCCTGCATTGTCTTCTCCCATAGGATTACAGAACGGCGATAAACTTCTGACATGTGGAGCAGAGTGTAAGGGACAGTTGATCTCTTTGGCATTTAAATTAGCAATTTTGGCAGGTGGAGCTTGGGCTGTTTTCCTTCGGAAACCAAATGCAACGATGCCGCGAATATTTTTGTTTAGAGCTGCAGCTCTGGTCTTTGTCTTGGTAGCCACTTTTGCCTATTGGCTCTTCTACATAGTTCAAGTGACAGAAACTGCAAAGGCCGCCACAACCCCTGAAGAATCAGTAGACTACAAAGCTGTGGTAGCTTATGCTGTCAGTCTGACTGATACATTACTTTTCATTCAATACTTGGCTGTAATTCTGGTCGAAATTCGACACTTGAAACCAGTTTATTACATAAAGATTGTTCGCAGCCCTGATGGAGCCAGTAAATCATATGCCATTGGTCAATTAAGTATCCAGAGGACTGCCGTTTGGGTGCTGGAGAAGTATTACACTGAATTTCCCATATACAATCCATACTTGGAGAGAATACCTGTTTCTAAGTCACGAAAGGCCTCGTCCAGCTTCAAATTTTACGAAGTTGATGGTATAAACAACACCAATTCGCAGCAGTCCCAGTCCCGAGCTATGTTGGCTGCTCATGCCCGAAGAAGGGATTCGAGTCACAATGAAAGATTTTATGAAGAGCACGAATATGAAAGAAGAGTTAAAAAAAGGCGTGCACGTCTTATAACAGCAGCTGAAGAAGCTTTCACCCACATCAAGCGACTGCACAACGATCAGGTTCCTGCAATTCCGATGGACCCCCACGAAGCCGCCCAAGCGGTGTTTCCATCGCTTGCCAGAGCTCTTCAGAAATACCTGAGAATTACCAGGCAACAGCCAAGACATTCTGTTGAATCAATTTTGAGTCATTTAGCAAACTGTTTGAGTCACGATTTAACACCTTGTGCTTTTTTAGAGCCGTACCTGGTGACTGAACCGGTGCTCCAGAATGATAAAGAAGTCAAGGAGGTGCAGACTTGGGCGCTTATTTGCGAGGAACTTCTATCGAGACCGATCGGTGATAAAACGGAGTTCCAGTTACGACAAAACGACGTTTCCTTGCTCTGTACTATAAGAAAATTGCCCCATTTCAATATAACCGAAGAAGTTGTTGACCCAAAAAGCAACAAATTTGTACTTCGATTGAATTCTGAAACATCCGTATGACCTCTGGAATGTGACCGGTTGATCTGAGGGGTTGGTTGAAGCTAGTGTAGGTAATGTCTATATTTTGTGTAACATTCTCTTTTTATTTTTTACCTTTTCATGTAAAGTATGTTATCATCAAACAAAGACATAATATGGTTTTCCAACATCCTATACACAAATATTTTAAAAATGTTATGTGTATAGGATGAAGAGTGAGTGGACGTCGTTTGTTTGTAAAATGTAAACTTTAAGCCAATGTACATAAGAACATAATAATTAGTATATTACGAAATTTTTACTAATTATCGAATACATTAGATTAAGATTTCGTTTTATAAAAGAACAAAAGAAGAATATTTGTATTCAATAGAAAACGAAATGTAAATCTGTAAATAATTAGTAATCAATTAGCAGTTTACTACTACGTGGGTCTTAATTAAATTTTTATACTCATTTATATTATGATAAATTGGAAGACTGTTGCTAGTCAAACGTCTTACCAAAAAGGCTTTAAATATGAGGCAAAAAACAGTTTCATTTATACTGTTTGTGTAATATACTCAAATACTTTTGGAAGGTATCAAGACGGCTAAGCCACTGCCCTCAACGTGTCTGTAAATAGATAGATGGTTTGATTAATGATGTGTCAGTATTGATTGAAGTGTTTTATAAAATGATTTTTTAAGGAAGAAACAAAATCCTATTTTTATAGGATTTTTAGATTGTTTTTTTAATGATGTAAAGGTATTTGTACCTTTGAATCTCATAACTTGATCTCCCAAATTATTTGTAGTTGGAAAAGAAACGTTAATAATAAACAGCGCAACTTAATGATATTATATAAAAAGTTTGTGTTGATTTATAAATACTATAGTTAAGAAAATACTTTTTTTGAAGTATTAGTATTTTAAAAACTGACACCTCTTATTAGTGCCTACATATATATTATCTTTTGTACTATTTTATGATATTGATAAATATCGCTCATACTTGATGCTTAAGTCAGCTGAATACTATGGCCATTAACTCTCTAATTTTGCATACTTGGAGTATATTTTTTTGCATTTATATCAAGAGCATATTTTGCTCTTCTGTTAAATGAAGTGTAAATAGCATTACTGTTGTCTTCGACTTTCCTAATGAAACTTTTATTTATTTTACATAAGCAATACATCAAGTGCATTTTAAACTAGTCATTTTATAAACATTTTCTGGAAGTTTGGTTTCTTTAGTTAAACATTCCAAAGTATCTTTTCCTATTTTAAGAATGTGTCTTTAAGATTTAAATTTCATGAGGCATAAATGGCATATCATACTAGGGGAACTTTTGTAAGCTCAAACATTGAAATAATTTTTAGTTATTGTTAATCATGTAATAGGTTCTCAGCTGTGATATAAAGAATAATTTAGCACAAATTCAGGTTATTCAGGATTGTTTAGTAGCTTCAGGTTGTTATTAATACTTTTCTATTTTTCTTGACATGTACTACTATGTGCTATACTTTTCCTATTACAGATAGCTTGCAATTCTTTGTATGTAATAGAAAGAAATGCGTAACTTTTTATACCTAAATGTACTGTAACACATTAAATAAAACAGTTAAGTGTATATTAATTTCCTTTATTGGCATTTGGGATACACAAAGTGAAATGCAGTCTTGCAAATTGACGTCAACTTTTATCAAATCGATAAAAATTTCTACTAGTAAAATTATTACAAGTTTTAAGAACTTATTAACTATAAACTAATTTTCCTTTTTCTATAATTTTCCACATAAGGAAGGGACTACAATTGTTTTTTTAATTAACTTAGTAAATATGAGATCTCCATTCTGATTCCTATAATTACCAAATAAAAAACTAATATTAAATCTGTTTTGAAGCCTTTATAAGTTTACATCCATCATGTAAGAGTTTTATCCCCCAAACAAACTTCACCAAGTTTCTAGAGAGGCTTTGATAAATTTTCCACAAAACGTGAGTAGTAAGTAATGTCCTCAGGTCTCGCCATCAGAATTTTAAACAAAATTTATTTTTTTCAGGCATGAAACAGCGACTTAGAACCATCAATTGACGTTGACTTAATTTTATGTCCCTATTTCACAGAAACATGCTTTA